GAGTCACAGACTTTGGGACAGGAGTACCCTGTGTTATTTGCTAGTAAACCAATAAACCACCTTTTTCCTCTTCCTCAAAAAAAAGAAAGAAAGAAATGATGTGTGTCACTTTGGACTACTTAATTTTAAGGTATATTCACAAATATTCTAGGCATCCTAATCCTGCACCAAAGACAGTTTAGTAATAAAGATTTTTAATACCAGAAAAAATATTTGTAAAAAGTTTAAAAATGGTTGCACTCCTTTTTTGCAAAAATAAATTGGCATAAAATCCATGATTATATTGTGAAATAGAGTAATCTCACTGAGCCAGTTTCCTTAACTACAAAATGTAGATTACAATTATCTACCTGATCTACATAATAAGATTATATGAGATTCAAATGGATATTTCTGGAAAGTGCCTCATAAAGACTAAAGTGCAAGAGATGTACACAATGGGATCAATAGTTTAAGCCCAGTCTTCAAAGAGTTGATATTCTGGGGAAATGGTCCCCAGAATGGTAGTACAACTACAGAATACTGATGATCTTCAAATATTCTGTTGATCTAAGATTTACCAAACTAGAAATGTTGCCTTCAAGTTCTTCCTTGTGCAGAAAGCACTCTTACTTCCTAATGAACTAAATATGGATGTGCATATTTAGCACATCCAAATCTGCCAGGCACCACGCACCAACGTAGACACTCCGAGGGAAGAAGCAGAAGACAGCTCCTGTCCTGCACAGCTGGCAGGTAGTGGCAGGCTCACAGCAGTGTGTGAGTTGGCAAGAACCAAGAAGAGCAACTCTTCCTGTTCCAACTCATTCAGCTATCTGAAGGCTCACTCAAAAGGACACAAAATCAGAAATGAACCATTTCACTCCTGTACTTTAGGCAAGTGAAGACAAAAAGACCGTAATGTATTTTAGCTTTATTGAAGACATATTACAGTAGACAAACAAGTAGACAAAACACATGCTCTATAAAATATACATTCTTATGTGTGAGAAAATATAAATATCAGGAAAGAACCACATCGAACAACAAGTTGGCTTACACTTACTTTTCTTTAGGTACATCTAATACCATGGCTGCTCAGACTGACATCCTCTAATAAGGGAAAAAGAGAACAGGGGAAAGTATAGGGTAGAATTAAGTCTCTATGGATCAAGAGGCCACATTAAATAGCCAGGAGATATTTCAAGAGCACTTAACCACCTGCTGATCAATTTCTCTTCCAAAACAGTTATAATTGGCATAAGACCACTTTACTTCTTACATTTGAAAATAGGCACAAACAAGTCAAGCTGTTTCTTCACCTACCCACACCCTTTGCGGATTATTAGGACTGATAAGAAACAGCACACAACCTTGAAAGAGGGGGCTTGAATCTTAACTCTTAAAACACACACCCCTGGAGACTGGAGATGTAGCTCAATGGTAGGGCACTTGCCTAAAATATACAAAGCCCCAGATTTGATCCCCAACACCAGAAAACACAAACACACCACCTTACTACTTACAAGCCCTCCAGGTGATTCTTGGGGTTTCAAATGTTTTAAGTGCAATTTGTAACACATCTCTTAATACAGAACTTGGGGAAAGAAGGGAAGGAGGGAGGAAATAAATTAATTGGAGTACAATTTAAATAAATATCAGTTAACCTCAAACGAAAAGTTAAAGGTAGAAGAGGTAGGAAGGAAAAGCCCCTGCTGAGCTGAAATGAGAAAGATCATTTAACAGAAAAAGTTACTTGCCAAGAAAGAAAGCTCAACCTTCTAAGGTCCAGCTGTTTTCACAATTACCTCTATAATCTGTATTAATGAGCAAATTTAAAAATGAAAGCTGTCACATAAAATGATAGCACATTTGGGGCTCAGGGCACACACAGCTCAGGGGCAGAGCATGTACAGATTCAAAACCCAGACCCAGGGGAGAAAAAAAACCCAACAGCAAACTTACCTCTGTTGATCTATTACCCCCTTGGCATTTCTGTGGTATTATAATTATGAAAAAAGGCCACACCAGGTAAAATATTGAATATAAAACTGAACACTATAATTCCAACACCATTCCAACTGGGAATAGATAAGAAAAAAACCAAGTTCTCTCATTTCTATTTATGACATAAACACTTGAATGTGCACATATATAAATTTTTATATATGTATATAAAACATACATATACATACATGTACACATATATAAAACCTTCTTATGTCTCTTATCCATTCTCTATTTTGGAATATATCTTTTCATATTTAGTCAAGTTCAGAATTTTTTATCCAATCATTATCTTTATATATCCTAATATATCTGACACCAAAAAAAAAAAAAGAAGAAAAATTAATCAAAGAGCAAAAAGGAGAGTTATAATGCAACACAAGCTTTGAATTTTTCACCATAGTAATGCTGCTTGCATTAGTTCTCTTTAGAACAAGCCCATAATTTTACATTTTCAGTCATGATCATGGGTCACATCCTTTTTGTTACTCATGGTCCCAAAGTTCTTTAGTTTAAAAAAATTCTGAGCTGGGAATGTGGCTCAGTGGTAAAATGTTTGCCTAGCACATAAAAGACCCTGGGTTCAATCTCCAGTGCCATCAAAACAAAACAAAACAAAAACTGAAGTACTCTCAACTAAACACAAAAGATTTTGAAGGGTAAAATTCTAAGACTGTCAGATTGCATGGAAAGTTCCAACAGAAATAAAGAGAACTTAAAAGTCATCATGCCCATATTCCATCTCAAACAGAAATATAACACTATTAAAAGATTATTAGACTCTCAATGTACCTTTCCCCCAAAAGGCTGACTGTTCCACTTGTCAGACAAATGTGATTGTTTAGAGAGTTAACTCATATAGAATTATTAGCAGGTATATGGTGCACTTTCATGTAGATGACACCTGTCCTGTCATTTCATATGACAACCTTTAAGTTAAGGTTTTTATAACATCTCCCTTTAGGGAGATAGGAAAATGGGAAACAGTCTAAACTGCTTTAACAGCCTAAGTTCCTTTTATAACCCTTTAATGGGCAAAGTACAGGCAACACGAAAGTTACAGAAAAATACACACTCAAAGCATTCTGATGTGGCACTTTAAGGTGCAACTGTACACTGGGCCAGGTTCCTGACATTTCCTATTCTAGAAAGTAGCTTGCATACAAGGAAAGTATTTAGAAGATGCCGATAAACAGAAAGTTAATGGCTTAAGTAGAGTTCCTGTGTTAGTAAGACTTCAAGTTCAATGAAACTGCAGTATGGTGGTGCATGCCTGTAATCCCAGTGGCATGGGAGGCTAAGGCAGGTGGATCACGAGCCCAAAGCCAGCCTCAGCAATTTAGTGAAGTACTAAGCAATTCAGTGAGACCCTGTCTCTAAATAAAATACTAAAAAGAGGGCTGGGGATGTGACTCAGTGGTTAAGCGCCCCTGGGTTCAATCCCTAGTACCAAAAAAGAAAAGAAAGAAAAAAACCTAAGAGGGGCACAAATTAAGAACATTTATGTATCCCTATTAAAATGAAGGGATAACTGGGTAGGGAGACAGATTTCTCTTAGCATTTGTTTGCCTTTCTTTGCAACATCCCTGATTAAATTAGCATTAAGCGGACAATGTACTGATAGAAAAAAGCATGGGTAAGCCATCAATCCTGTTTACATTAGATGGTGAAGCACTTGATCAGTGTTTTACGTGGTTAGAAATACATGCACACCTGTAATCCCAGCTACTGAGGAAGCTGAGGCAGGAGGATCTCAAGTTCTAAAAAGCCTAAGCAACTTTAGCAAGATCTTGTCTTAAAATAATTAAAAGGGCTGGACATATAGTTCAGTGGTAGAACATGTGCAAGGACCTGGGCTCAATCCTGTACCAGAAAGGGAGAGGGGGGAAAAAAGCAATTAAGTAAATTCTTCCTAGGATTAGATGTTGTAGTTATTATTTTAAGACCCAAGGTAGGCTCTTTGTATTTAGACAGATTCCTGACTAGTTATTCAGGCAAGCTTGGAATATGTGGGTGGAGGTTTCAACCATTTGAGCTGATATAAGGAAGGATAACCTGGCTCCTCAGGGCACCAGACTTTGACACCACTGTCAGCATGAGCAGCATGGAGGGAGCACACCTGGATGGAGAGAGCAGTGATTCACACACTACAGTCTCTAGAGCAGTGACTCACACCTGTTTTCTGCCCTCTCCACATATAACAGCTAATATTCGTGGGCACAAACTCTGGCAACCCAGCCTAACTCCACATTTACCACTCAGGAAAATCTCTCTTTGAGTTAGAGTACGATAACTTTGAGTACATTAGAAAGGGAAGCAAGGCACAAACTAGTTACAAATTAATTGTGGCCCACCTCTCAGATGATCTTGATACTCTGCTGTGCTGTAATTCTAGCATTCAGATCTGCTGCTCTAGAAAGCAAAGGTTGATTTTTCAACTGAGACAAAATTATTTAAGGTTACTGATGATAACTGTTTAGAAGTAGAATATTTTGCCAGGCAGATGGTGCATGCCTGTAATCCCAGCAGCTCGGGAGGCTGAGGCAGGAGGATCAGAGCTCAAAGTCAGCCCCCTGAAACTTGGTGAGGCACTAAGCAACTCAGTTGAGACCCTTTCTCTAAATAAAATACAAAAAAGGCCTAGGGATGTGACTCAGTGGCTAAGTGCTCCTGGGTTCAATCAAAACAAAATTTTTAAAAAAGAATATTTTTCCTCACAAGTATTTGTCTGTTTATGGTGCCAGGGACTGAACCCAGGGGGACTCAACCACTGAGCCCCATCCCCAGCCCTTTTCTAATTTTTTATTTTGAGATAGTGTCTCACTAAGTTACAGAGGCTGGCTTTGAATTTGGAATCTTTCTGCCTCAGCCTCCTGAGTCACTGGGATTACAGGTGTGTGTCACCATGCCTGGCTCCTCAAGAGTATTTCTTACACCATTATTCCTACTATAGAGGAAATAAATATGGATCAAGTTAGAGCAAGCAGTATCATTCTTGTTCAACTCTAACAAAATACTTCACAAAAGCAGCTTTTTATTAAAGTGGCATAATCCTCTTCAGCTCCTAAAGGAGCTAGAAAGGGCTGGAAAGAGCATCTAGTAAAATAAAATGCCTCATTTCATAAATGAGGAAATTGAGCCTAGGAAAGTCCAAGGACTCACGCTTGATTACCCAGCTAGTAAAGAGCAGAGTCAGAAGTGAACCAGGTTTCTTAATTCCTGTCAGTCCAGTACAACCAATACCACAACCTCCTAAGAAGAGAGTGCAGACTGAAAAAGTTTAGAAAAACTGTCATATTTAAGTTCAAAGTGAAAATGAACAGACTCTGACAGGTGCAAGAGGAAAAAGGTAACAGGTGCAAGAGGTAAAGAAGTGCTGCTGCCCACAGGAGAAAAACTGATTAAAACCAAGTAGAAAATTCAGCTAAACTTTATGACAAAAAGCTGAGAAAGGATGTGAGTTTAGAACCCTGGATATGCATGACTTAGATATTTTTAAGAGGTTAAAATTATATAGTTAAGATTATTAGAATAGAGAATCAAACAGTGTATAAAGAAATCTGACAGCACAAAGAAAGAACTTTAATCCACTATATTTCATTAGACTGTTAAGTTCTTTCTTCACATAAAGCTCTTTGCTATGAAATTTGAAGAAAAAAAAACTTTTTGGCTTAAATAATCACTTGTAAAAAAAACAAGGACCACTCTAAAGCTTTATAGTATAGGAACATCTTCTGTATGCTCTTCCTAAAAACAATACAAACACAGGAAGAAGCAATCTTTGGTTTCCGTGTCAATGAAGTATTTTGCTGAAAAAAGATAGTCCCCAAACAAGTCTTCTTCTGTTTATAAGGTTGTGATGAGACAGCCAGGCTCTGAAACAGCCTGGCTTTTAATGCTAGAAAGGGAATGTCACCTGGTGCTTGTAAATAGATGGCAAATGATTAAATGTATGAACCGTCTGTCGTGAAGCAGTTAATTTCACCAAGACTGTGTTATATGTGCATAATCACCAAGTACCCTGCCTCTATACATATACTTAACAAATAAGTTTTTAGAACTTTAGACAGTTTTTAGATCTAAGTTATACAAAATCTTTGATCTGAGAAGCTGCTGTCAATATAATAACTAGAGACACATTATATATAATTCTGGCATATCAAAAATATTTACATTACAACCAACACACATGGTCAATGAATAGAAAAATTATTTATAAATACACACATATTTACAATGAGTTCCCTGGGCAATAGGGACCAAAAAAAAAACCTCAAGAATACAAAAACTTTTGACCTAATACCAGCTGGTCAAACTGGGATTCTTGCTGAAGACCTTGAATATCAAAGCCCCAGGCTCAACTACCTGCTTAAAACCACTGAAGAACCCCAGGCACACTTCCCAGAGGGCTCCAAAGTTATTTTTGCTCTTGGAAGGTAGAGTAGAACATCAAAGCAGTAATGTTTTCTCAGGGTTGTTCTGAGAATTAAGATAATTCCAGCAGGTTAAGCAGCAATCAGACCTTCCTGATAGGCAAAGCACACCTCGGCATATCTCCATGGAACCATCAGGAAGCACATTTGTCTTGTATTTTCCTCTGCCAGTGCTGCATAATTTTTATTTGATATACCCATTTCTGTCAGCTGTTACCCTTCCTTCATCAGGCATAAACCCAAATGCCTGTCCTACCTTGGTGTGGTCAGATGTAACCATGAACAAAGAGTAAAGCAAATGCTGACTTTGGGGTTTCTTCTGAACTCTGAGGTAGTAAGTACAAATTAGTTCACTTTTGTCTCTGCCCAGATTTTATCCTAGAGTGGGTTTCATGTACCCTCACTACCATCTTGAATGTTCCGAGTCCTACTAAATTCAAAAGCATGGTCATGTAACCTGTGGCAAGGCATGGGGGAAGAAGAGTCTGGATCTCTCTCTGCCAGGCCTTCATTTCGATGAAGTTGTGGTGACTCAAGGACTGGTTGTTGGGAAAAGGGCGGATGAGACAGGCCTAATTCTCTGTTTATGTTCCACAGAGGCTGTTGCAATGTTTCTGAGAATGAAAGACAAGAATTATCAGTGGTGACTAGGATTCAAAATTAATTTTCTAAAACTTAATGTCCTTTTAACCAAAACCCCAAAGACATAAAGATGCCCAGTATTCCTGAATAAGAACATGGAGAACAAATGTGTATTTGCCATATTCTTAGCCACAATTAAAAAAACATAACCATACAAACATTGAATACAGTAGTAATGACAATACTGTTCAAGTGCAAACCCAAAACAATACAGCTCTTGAATTTTATAAACTATCACTGTTTTTTGTTCTGTTGCCAATAGCAAACTGCTTTTCCATTAATGGAGACTCCATGCCTTTCAAGCATTTTAAATATGATAATATTTATAAATGTGTGATTTGGAGGAATTGTTTAAATTTTTTTTTCCTAATTTTCATTCTCTTCAGAATAGATTCTTTCAACAAGTAATTTTTTTTAAAGACAGAGTGAGAGAGAATTTTTTTTTTAATGTTTATTATTATTTTTTTTTTTTTAGTTTTCGGTGGACCCAACATCTTTGTTTGTATGTGGTGCTGAGGATCGAACCCGGGCCACACGCATGCCAGGCGAGCACGCTACCGCTTGAGCCACATCCCCAGCCCTCAACAAGTAATTTTTAATAATGACTGTGTTGACTTCAATTTTTGTAGTGTAATGGCTATGTTAAAGATTAACTATTTGGTCTAACTGAAGCCAATACAGAACTTGCAGCTATGTTTTTTCTTCAGTGACAAATAAAATACTTACAAAATTAAAAAAAAAAATTGGAACTGTGGCTATTAGATCCTTATATTCAATGAATTTAACCAATTAATTTCTGAAACTATGCTGTCTTATGCTCATTCAGCTATTATTTTAGTGGTTCTGCTACACCAAAAATTAAATACTATACATACATGGAAAATAACTAAGAAGACAATGGTATCCTTATTATAATGAAAGTTTCATGATACATGAGTAATAACTGCTGATTTTGTGCTGCTGTTACATCTTTAAATGTTTTTGTTTTAAAAAACAAACAATCACTGTACTGGGGTTTTAGCTCAGTGGTAAAGCACTTGCCCCACACACGTGAGGCACTGGGTTCAAACATTAGCACCACATAAAAATTACAGAGATATTGAGTCCATCTACATCTAAAAAAATAAACAAACATCATTAAAAAAAATCATTGTCTTCTAACTTCTAGAATGTAAGAACCAAACAAATATAAGCAACAAATAATAACCAAAAGCAACTATATTAAATGACATTATCTATACTCTGGTTTCAAAAAAATCTGCATTTCTCTCATTTTTATTACAGTAGTGAACTATTTTCCTAAAAACTACATTAAACATTAACTTCATTACATTAACTTCACCTGGTGCATTTTGGGAAAAGCTAGCCTAACATTCTGGGAACCAAAACCCACAAATAAAAATCCATGTGAAAAGTAAGCTAAAGCAAGTTTTTCAAGCTTTAATATGCACAGAAATAACCTGGGGATCTTGTTGAATATATGGGCATTTTATCACTGAACTACATGCCCAGTCCTTTTTATCTTTTGAGACAGAGTCTTCCTAAGTTGCTGATTGTCTCTAAGTTGCTGCCTCAAACTTGTGATCTCTTGCTCCAGCTCCAAAGTAGCTGAGATTACACATGTATACCACCACAACCCAGCCATGACTGCCTTTCTAACAAGCTCTGAGGTAATGCTCATGCTGACAGTCCTAGCCCACACTTTGGGTAGCAAAAATCTATAGTACCCTAGATAAAGAATGGACAATGCACCAATGCACTCTTATTTGCTTATTTCCTTCTCACAGAACAGAATCAAAATTCAGGCATGCAGAAAGCTAAAAAAAAAAAAAAAAAAAAGATGTGCTGCACCTTTGGTTCTCCTTAAATCTTTTTTTTTTTTGGTACCGAGAATTGAACTCAGGGATACTTAATCACTGAGCCACATCCACAGCCCTTTATATTTTATTTAGCGATAGGGTCTCACTGAGTTGCTTAGGGCCTTGCTATATTGCTGAGGCTGGTTTTGAACTCTCAATCCTCCTACCTCAGCCTCCTGAGCCACTGGGATTACAGGCATGTGTCACTACATCCAGCTTTGAACCATTAAAAAGAGTCACTTAAAAAAATGTGACTTTTTAAAAATATATATATATTTATTTTTTAGTTGTAGTTGGACACAAGACCTTTATTTATTTATTTATTTATTTTTTATACAGTACTGAGGAGTGAACTCAGGGCCTTGCACATGCTAGGCGAGTGCTCTACCGCTGAGTCACAACTCCAGCCCCTTAATGCGACTCTTCTAAGAGAAGGAAAAATTGATTTAGTGTTGGTGCATTTCTTTCCTGGACACTGAATGTAAACATAGAAGACTAACTTCAATAACGGTATTTTTATCTGCCCTCTACCCTCTTGAGCAAGCTTTAGAATTGGTCTCTTAAGAACTAAAGAGTGCACAATAGCTAGACTGTGGAGCCAACCTAGATGCCCTTCAATGGATGAATGGATAAAAAAAAAATGTGGCATTTATACACAATGGAATATTACTCAGCACTAAAAAATAACAAGATCATGGCATTTGCAGGGAAATGGATGGCATTAGAGCAGATTATGCTAAGTGAAGTTAGCCAATCCCTAAAAAACAAATGCCGAATGTCTTCTCTAATATAAGGGGGGGTGACTCAAAATGGGGTAGGGAAGAAGAGCATGAGAAGAAAATTACCTTTAGATAGGGAAGAGAGGTGGGAGGGAGAGGGAGGGAGAATGGGAATTGCATAGAAGAGGGAAGGAGACCCCCTTCGTTATACAGAATACAGGTGTGACGATGTGAGGGGATAAAAAAAAAGAAGTGGTCACATTAGATTAGGTAGAGAGAAGTGATGGGAGGGGAGGGGAGGGGAAGGGGGGAATGGAAGGACAGCAGAATAAAATAGACACTAGTATTGTTGTGGGTATATACGTGACTGCATGACCAATGTAACTCTGCAACCTGTACACTCAGAAAAATGAGAAATTACATCCCATCTGCCCATCTAATTCAAATGTATGATATGTCAAGATCATTGTACTGTCATGTGTAACTAATTAAAACAAATTTAAAAAAAGGAAACAGGAGAATAGAAAAAAAAAAAAAAAAAAAAAGAACTGAAGAGTGCATCTTAAGTCTCATCTTAGATTGCTACTCTTGCCAGAACCATCCCTGAAAAATACTACTATCTACTACATAATTTACCCTCCTTTCTAATCCTATATTTCTTACCTCCTGCCCCATTTCCAGTGCTCTTCCACCTCAGATTAACAGGAGATGACAGGGGATAAAAAGCCAAATGGTCAGGAAGATATGCTCAGGAGTACCTTTCATAGTCTAGAAAGAGCTATGTTTTACTGACCAAGCTGTTATCAAAGACCTGATCTACACAGAATAGTATTTCTTTTCCTGAGTCATGAGGACAAAAGAACCTATTCTAAAACTGTCTTCCCAATTATGGTGCTGATCATACCTCATAGGAGAAAGAAAACATCTGCCAAGTGATGCTGAAATAAAATATTTGCCTGATAGAATAGCAACCAAACAAAACATTTTAAAGTTTTCTCAGTACAAAATAATTTTGCCCATATTATATTCTAAGTATTTCAAATTTCCATTATTTAAATAAAATGGAGGGGCTGGGGATGTGGCTCAAGCGGAAGCGTGCTCGCCTGGCATGCGTGCGGCCCGGGTTCGATCCTCAGCACCACATACAAAGATGTTGTGTCTGCCAAATACTAAAAAATAAATATTAAAATTCTCTCTCTCGCTCCCTCTTTCTCACTCTCTCTCACTCTTTCTTTAAAAAATAAAATGGAAGAACAAATTACTAATACCCATATGAAACTTCTCTAAAGCTTCTTTCTATGTGGCCTTTGGATTTTCTGTAATACAATCTTGGTACCCCACAAAAGCTGTTTTCGTCCTCCAGATAAAGACTTTGAAACCCAATATGTAAAAACTTCTGGCTCTAATATACACCAGTTAACAATGGCCACTTATTCCAGTGTAACAATTTGTTTGCTTCTTGTCAAATGAGTGCTACCTATATGATAGAAGGAAAAATCCATGAGGTAAGTGAAAGCAAAATAACAAAAAAGACACCCTTACCATTGCTCATCTGTGTGCAGGGAAGTTTCTTCTCACTTTTTCTATCATTGTTAGTAGGAAAGGCAGACAGCTCTCTGTCTGCTGATATCAGGCTCTCCAAGACAGTGGCATCTTGGGGAGGATGTGACAAAAATGTCTCCTTGGGCATCTGGACCATGAGGCTGGATAGTGTCTGATCTAGAACATCCTCCTCAGCAATATAGGTGTATGGACAGTATTCACGGGTCCTTGAGTATATGTTGGCATTGTCGTAACAATCTGAGCAGATCACCCGGGTACCAGTGCCACCTAATGACAACATGGGACAGAATCCAAACCATTTTTCTGTTAAGGAATTAGTTTGCATCACCAATTTCCATCCTTGAACTCTTAAACCTTATAAATAAGATGAAGTTTCAAGATCTGTGAATGGACTCATTTAATCTTCACAATATCCTCATATGGTAGGTACTATCATCATCCCCACTTTATAGATAAGGTAACTATAGAACATAAAAGGAAGAAGGTAACTTGACAGAAGTAATGTTGCCAGAGTGAAAAACCCAGGCACTCTGGCTTTAGAGCCCACACTCTTGAATATTATGTTAAACCATCTCTGCCCAGCCCGGATAAGTCAAGTTCAAAGGGATCCAAGACAGGGCTTGCACTGTGCCAAGATACATGCTTAGCCTAAGCAAATTAAAGCAGACAACAAGGAGTTTAGGATGACTTTACTTCATGAGAGACCATGTTACTTTTAAAAGTCAAGAGGTTAGCAATACTAACTGCTAAAATTATCCCTAGTCTAAGTCCTGCCTGACAAGCATGTGGTGATAGAAGTAAAAGTTTAATAAAGTAAAGAGCAGATCTAAAGTAATATGTTCATAGTCATAGAGCTAGAAACAGGAAGAACTCGGAATCAAATCCAGTCTTTCTATTCCTTCATTCATCTCCCCATGTTTTGGCACTCCCTATGGAAACAAGAGTCCTGAGAAGTAGGGGTGAGAAGTAGGATTGAGAAGTCAGGTCCATTTAATTAGGATATGTTTATCTCTCTCTGATGTTCTTCATTATATGATGAATGAGAACCACTGTTGTACTTTATTTATTTATTTTTTTGTACCAGCCACATCCCCAGCCCTATTTTGTATTTTATCTAGAAACGGGGTCTCACTGAGGTGCTTAGCACCTCATCCTTGCTGAGGCTAGCTTTGAACACTGTTGCACTTTAAACTTTACTGATTATCTACATGTTAGCAGGAGACACTAACTTCCCTTGGATGTGATCTGAGGAATGCTCCTCCCTGAAAAGTCTTTTATTAAGACTCTGGTCAACTTTTATCCTATTTTGCATGAAGCTAAATATTTTCACTTTAAAATATTGCTCAGAGCCAGGTGTGGTATGAACCTGTAATCCCAGGGACTTGGGAGGCTAAGGCAGGAGGATCACAAGTTTGAAGCCAACCTGAGAATTTAGCGAGGCCCTATCTTGAAGTAAAAAATAAAAAAGACTGGGGCTGTAACTCAGTGGCAAAGTGCCCTGGGTTAAATCCCTGGTACCAAAAGGTAAAAAATAAAATATTACTTCAGGTTAATGGGAAAATTGAACACTGAAAAATGAATGACAGGACAGGCTGAAGTTGGTAAGCATAAACATAAATCCTTACCATCAGTGCCTTTGTGTATATATCCACTGGCAGGAGGCATGAGCTGCTGGTGACTGCCTGCCTCAGAGTTGCTGTATCCTTCCTGTGGCTCAGACAGTGTTCCTTGGGAAGACAAGTAACTAGGAATGTCTGCAGGCAAATTGAGCTCCTCTGTTTAAAAAAAAAAAAAAAGACATCTGTAACTTTCACATAAAGTTACACGGTTAAAGCCAACACTCTGAAGGCTATTTTCTCAATGTGCTCTACTCTGATACAGCTGGCCAGGGGCGGGGAAAAAGGGGCACCACTGTCCCCCTTCAGAAAAACTATGATAGAACTAATTCCTCAAATAGGTTGTTATATCAAGGAAACTGGAAATTTTAACAGAAAAACTTCCTTATGCCTGTATTAGGTATAATGTATCATAGGCTCCTAAGTTTTTGTACTTAATAATAAATCCTACTCTACATTCTTTTTTTATAAATTTTTTTTTTTAGTTGTAGATAGACACAATCTTCATTTTATTTATTTTTATGTGGTGCTAAGGATCAAACCCAGTGCTTCATGCTTGCAAGGCCAACGCTCTACCACTGAGCCACAACTCCAGCCCTGCACTACATTCTTGACTCAAGTATTAAGTCACAGATACCATCTGGGTACCACTCACCTGTGTTTGTGATACTATAGTCTTCATTTTTCCTTCTCATATGGTAAATAACAATGACCCAGATTAAAGAGGTGCCCACAACACAGCAGACCACAACAATGATGACAATGCCAACTGTAGTCCAGCCATCATCTTCATGCCCAATGCTACTCTGAGAAGAGTCACAATTGGGGGATGAAATGACATTTAGGTAAATATGGCCACGTTCTGTCCCAAGGGTATTAGACATGATACAGGTATATTTCCCGGCATCTTCTAGTCCAGCATCTACAATGATGAGAAGCTGGTTGGCAGCAGCAAAGAAGTGTCTCTCTGTCACCAGCAGTGGTCCATCATCTTTAGTCCAATTGAGGCGTGGAGCAGGACTTCCTCCAGCTATGCACTGTAATACAGCCGTTTCACCTCGGGTTACTGTCTTGTCTTCCAGAGGTCTAATAAATGAGGGTGTCTCTAAAAGGGAAACATTTAAAATATCAAGTTAGGCAATTGTTGGGGCTGGGGATGTGGCTCAAGCAGCAGCGCGCTCGCCTGGCATGCGTGCGGCCCGGGTTCGATCCTCAGCACCACATACAAACAAAGATGTTGTGTCTGCCAAAAACTAAAAAAATAAATATTAAAATTCTCTCTTTAAAAAAAAAAAAAAAGTTAGGCAATTGTATTCTCTAAATCCTACTGAATTTGACTGATGGGAAGATTAGAATCTTCTAAAAAAGATTCATAATCCACTTGAATCAAATGTATGAAATATGATATGTCAAGGGCTTTGTAATGTTTTGAACAACTAATAATAATAAAAGAATCTTCTAATAATTCTATTATAATTCTATCTTAGAATATGTTTCAGACACCCCCCCCCGAAAAAAAAAAAAAACTTAAATTGAGGCTGGGGTACAGCTCAGTGGTAGAGCGCTTGTCTAGTATGTACGAGGTCCTGGGTTTGACTCCCCTGCACAACAACAAACAAACAACAGAAGCTCCAAAACCTAAATTTCATCTCAACATTTCTACTTTGGGCATGCTCTCCCAAAAAACTAAAAAAGTTATATGCAAAGAAGTTTATTACAAAATCAACTGCAATTTAAAAATATAAGGACATATCTAAAAATCGCTCTTCAAGAAAATAATTAGTCACATGATTCTTTATGAAGACTTTCTTTTAATGACAAGGTAATCCTTGTAATACAATATTAAACTAAAAAAAGGTAGAAATACTTAACTACATAAAAATAAATTTTAAAAATGTTTAGAATATGCTAAAATATGAGTGACTTACCTAAATTTTCTGTAACCTTAAAATTTTAAAATACTAATTTTTCTGATTAAACAAGTAACAAATCTAACAAACTTCTTTTAAAAAACCCTGCCATCTAGGGAAATACAGAACTAGAAAGAAGAATTTGCTTTAAACTTGAGAATAGGACTCATTAGAAAATAAATAAAAATTCTAGTAAGGGAGATATTTGAAGAAAAAACATTTTGCCAGAATACAGGATTATGAAGCACAATAGAGGGGAAAACAGAAAATCTAATGAGTTAATACAACGGTTATATGTTGTATTTTTTAATTAACAGGGGAAAATAATTAAATTATCTTAGGTTCTTTGTGAAACAGTATGTGGAGCATTAGAGAATGGCTAGAACATTTCTAAGAAAAACAGTAGGACTTGTAATGTGAGCTTTCTGAAAAGTTAATAAAATACACAAAGTAGAAAAATTACAGAGGGAGACATAAAATTAAGGGATTTGAATTTTCGATTTATGAGATAAAGAACCCTAATTCTGCCCTCAGCATTTCCCAAGATTTCAGTTATCTAACCCACTAATATCCTAGGCTGACATAACTTAAATAAAGTGACAAAATAATAACAAAGGTAAAAAATCACAACTGAAATCTCAAAATTATTTTGCAAAATAATAATAATTTGCAAAACAAAATCAGCTCTTAAAAGCTCCCAAAATAGTAGGGATACTTGAAGCAGTTAATGTACCTAAAACTGTTAGAGAGGCATTTGCTGAGAGGCCTCCTGCTATATTTTGCGCCATGCAACTATAGATTCCCATGTCTTCTATTTTCACATTGGCAATGAAGAAGACATCATCCTCAGGCATGACGTGCATGCGTCTTTCTCGAGCCGCAGGAAAGTCAGTACCACCATCTTTCTGCCAGGAAATCTGAGGTACAGGGTGCCCCTCTGCAGCACATTCTAATCTGGCCATGGCACCAGTGCGGATAGTCAGATCCATTGGAGTTTTCAGAAAAGATGGCATCTCTGTTCCAAGAAAGATCATTAAGAAAAAAGTCAGGAGAGGGAAAAATATACACAACATGCCAATCTGACAGGCAAAATATCAATTGTTGAAATGATGCATTTCTTTGAGAAGACATTCTCTCTGGATTGACAGTCAATACAACTTTAGAAGCCATCTTTCCTCTCAGAAACTCAGAGTATTTAGAGCACAGTGACAACTAACTCTTCTAGAATATCTGACATGCCTTGTGATTTTCCTGATGGGATTAGGGAAAGCAGAAGGCCACAAACATTTCTGAACTCCATATTTCAGAACTTGATATTTAATAATACTCTCATATGTATGAAGTTAAATGGTGCTTCCTAAACTAACATCAACACAGTGGTCAAGGAAACTGCATATTTAAAAAAAAAAAAAATAGGTCTTTAAAAATCTAAGAAACACAGAAGACAAATACATTTTTTGGTTGCATAAAGTCTAAAATGTGACACTTATACAACATAATAGGCAATAGATAAAGCTATCCTGAAGTTTTTTTTTTTCCAACCACAGAAAGAAGAGCATTAATTTAAAAAATGATTCTTTGTAACTAATTTAGACAATAATACCAATCTAAACTAAATATAGTCAAGGAACATAATTCCTTACCATTCACTATCAGTTTGGCTTTTTGAGAATAATTGGAACCAAAATGATTAGTAACAATACACTGGTATTTTCCTTCATCTGTGAAATTCACATTGAAAAGATGTAAAATACTAGTATATTCCAGAGCTTCTCCAGCTTGCTGCCGGTAACGAACAAAATTCTCAATATCCACATCATATAGGATTTCACTATTTTTGCGCCACACAGTGGACATGGGTGAATCACTGCTACTCACTGCAGTACATGTCAGAGACACATTAACTCCTCTTAGAGCAACTGTGGATTCAGGATGTGTCCTTATCTGTGGCTTGAGAAAATCATCTGAGGGGGGAAAAATGCAGTAGTAGACATGTTAATTATTTACTTGTACTTCTTTAGATTCAATTTTAAAACAAATACCGTAAAACTGTGAGTTCTATTTATACAGTGGCATATTAAAGTTGAAAAAGATTATAGAGCTGATGTCCAACTCCTTTGTTTAAAGATGGGGGAAACATTACAGGAAAGTATTTTCTGTAAATAAGCAAGTAAATGGCTTGCTCAAAGTCATTAAATCACTGGCAGAACCTAGACAGGAACTCAGGCTCCTGACGTAAGGATCCAGTTTTTTACTATCCATGACACTTATGTGCCTATAATGTATTTCTTAAGCATTACCAGGTTAGCGGAGAAAAAAAGAAACCTTAGATTAGAATTTCAAGACAAGTTCTAATTCTATTATCCCTTTCTTATTATATATTACATATATTATAACTATTACCCTTTCCATGCCAATATAGAAAATGGGGATATGTACTATTCTATTTCACAGAGTACCATCAATAATACAAAATACTTGGCAGTACTCTGTGAATACTCACAACATTAAAATAGTGAAAAAAAATCCAAGTATGTCAAATGTACAACTAAAGATTAGTGTAGGACTGACTAATCAACTATAGATTTATAAACTGTAACGCTACTGGGTTGATTCAGAGAGGTTTGCATATGAATTCTTAACTTTATTATCTTTACTGAATAATATTTCACCGTATAAAAGTGATATGCAGAATGATAGAATATAAGAGATATGTCTACATTTAATTACTAAAATCAAAAAGAAATGTGCAGCAACATATGCAGAATTTAGTCTTTATTAGATTCTTTGTTTCCTTCTTTAAAATTTGTAAAAACAATGGAAGTATTTTGTGGACCTGAACTTGCAAGTACCCCAAGTATCATTAAGTAGATTGTAAAATTAGATCTGGCAAAACAAAAGTACTCAAATGAACACAAACACTACTGGTACGCAACACAGATGTACTAAAGTCATCCCTCTATATCCAAGAGCTTTGCATCCAAGAATTCAACCAACGGAAGAATTAAAATAACAGAGGAAGTAAAAGTAGTGGTGCACACCTATAATCCTAGCAATACGGAGGGTAAGGCAGGAAGATTTCAAGTTTGAAGCCAGCCTCAGCAACTTAGCGAGTCCCTAAGCAACTTAGCAAGACCCTGTCTCAAAATTAAAATAGGGGCTGGGGATATACCTCAGTGATAAAATGCCCCTGGGTTCAATCCCCAGTACCAAAAAATAAATAATAACAGGAAAAAATTATTTTGTTCTGAACATGTACAGACTTTTGTTCTTATTCCTAAAATTATTCCTTAGATAAAACAGTATAATTATTTACATAGCATTTATATCACATTAGGTATCTTAAGTAATTTAGAGTTAATTAATATGCAGATATTGCATTTATATGCAAATACTATATCATTTTATATGAAGGACTGAAACATCCAAGGATCTTGGAAGCAAACCCCTGTGGAAGCTGAGGGATGACTGTTCCATGTGAAGTTAAGAATCATACCTTCTACTTTAAAGGAAATTTGAATGTAAAGGCAAAATTTCCAAGTTGAAAAAGATTTATACCAGAAATTATAAGTATTAAAATCAAGACACCTTGTCTATGTCTATCCCCTCAAGAAAAAAAAAATCCAAGTCTTAAAAAAAAAATCCTTCAGTCTTAAAAATCTGCACTTAAAAATACAGCACATGAAATCAGTACCTTATTATACATAAAACTTGCTGTACATGTATAATTACAGCATTGCTGATGACGACATACACTGCTGGTCACAACACAACTAGTGTTCTTTCTTTTTTTTAGAATACCTGTGGCACTTTTCAAGATCTACAATAAGTATTCATGTAAAAAAAAAAAAAAATCATACTTATTGATTCGGCAGAAGGATCACTTAAGCCCAGATTCAAGGATAGCCTGGGCAACATAGTGAGACCTATCTCAAAAAAATAAAGAATATACAGAGGTGGACTGGGGCACATAGCTCAGTGGTAGAGTGATGTACAAGGCTCTAGGTTTGATTCCTAGCACTGAAAAAACAAGTAAGATGACAGAGGGAAAAACTGCTAATGAAATATTAAATAAAAGAACACAAAATTTAACCTCTGATTATTAAAATATAATCACTGAAACCCAGGTTAGAGAATAACACAGAAAAATGGAAATAGATATGCTAATGGGAAAGCTAGTGGTTCTTTTCTTTTTAATTCTGTTAATACAGTTAAATAAGTAATATATAAAATTTTAAGACAAAAATACAAACCACAGACAAAATCTTTCAGGTCCACATTCAGGATGCTTTGCCCTGCTAGCCATTCAGGATGTGCACAGCTCACATTTACAGAATGATGAAAGTTATTATCAACCAGCCATTGAAGTAACCACTTCAAATGACAGTCACAGAGCAAACTGCTTGTGTTTAGAATCCTGCAGAAAAAAGAGGAAAAGTACCCTTTGTTTTACTTTTCAATATAAGTTTCTTCAGTATTAAAACCTTCATGCATTTTTCTTGCCAAAATGTTTAATCTGAATCTAATCCTAAAAGTGAAGAACATCAAAAAGGGGGAAACAACAGCAAGGGAACCATTTTTTTAAATATTTATTTTTAGTTTTCGGTGGACACATCTTTATTTTATTTTTATGTGGTGCTGAGTATCGAACCTAGCGTCCCGCACATGCCAGGTGAGCACGCTACCGCGTGAGCCACATTCCCAGCCCCGAGGGAACCATTTTAAAGAAGACTAAAAAGCCACTATAACCCAATAAAATGATTATTTAAAAAATATATTTATTTAGTTGTAGATGAATACAATATCGTTATTTATTCATTTTTATGTGGTGCTGAGGAAGTCAAAAGTAGTGGTGCATACCTGTAGTGGTGTCTCACACATGCAAGGCAGGTACTCTACAACTGAGCTACAGCCCCAGCCCAATATGATTCTTAACTGGAAAAAAATACATCTAAAAAGGACATTTTTTGACAACAGGGAAATTTGTGAACTATTTCTAAACACTGGTGTTATGATGTCTACAGCTTTTAAATGGTCACACACACAGAACAATTGTGTATACAAATATCCATGTGTGTGGCAAGGAAGCAAAAGTGAGAACAAGTCCCAGAGCCAACAAGAGGAAGAAGGGAAACAGATAAATGTGGCAAAAAAATAAATAATAATAATAACTGGTGAATCAAAATAGAGGGCATTCATTGTCCCTTTTAAACTTCTGAGGTTTAAATTTTTGAAAATTTTGAAAAGAGGGCAAAGGTTCACTATGTATTTTAGAACAGTGAGAGATCTTTGTTGTAAAGAGTATATAATTATTTCCAAATTTCATCAAAACTAAAAATACTTCTGCCCTATGGTAATGTGTACTGCAACTTAGACTAAGAGCCACTAAAATATGATTTATGACCTACAATAGGAGTATAACACATATCTGAAAAATCACCATTCTCCATGACCTCTTAAATCTCCTGATGACTTAGAAGAAAGGAAAGCAAATAATTTTGAGATTGTAACCTGCTTTGTGTGTATGATCATAATCTTCATCTAGGTTTAAAGTCTGGTATAAAGTATCTACAAGTCTGTTCCACAGAGTGTTTAAGGGTAACTCAAAAATCCATATTTCAAGGGTAATTTTAACTAAACAAACCATAGTTCCCTTTTGCATTTAAGAATTTTTAAGTACTTTTCATGCATGCATGCATTCATTCATTCATAGAGAAATATTTGAGAGTCTATCACTATATGCCAGGCACTGTTCTAGGCTTGGGCACAAACTCCTCATAGAGCTTTTGCATTTATCTAGAGTCAAATTAGCAATAAATAAATGCAAAATACAATGTCAGAAAAGTGTTAAGTGCCATGAAGAAAAACAAAGCTAGGCAAAGACATAAGAGACAGAAGCTATTAGTTTAGATAAAGTAGTCAGGAAAAGTTTTTTGAAGAGATGGCAGTTGGTCAAAGACCTGAAAGTGGTGAAAGGGCAGATGGTGCAAAGATCTGACTTAAGAGTATCCCACCCAGATAGAGGAAACCATATGCAAAGGCCTTGAGGCAGATAAGCTTAGTTTGCTCTACCAAAATCAACGAGGCCAGCTGGGTGTGGTGACACTCACCTATAGTCGCGCACTCAGGAAACCAAGGAAGGAGGATCCCTTGAGCCTAGGCATTTAAGACCAGCCTGGGCAACATAGCAAGACCACGAGCCCCTCACATCCCCCCAAAAAGGCAAGGAGATCATCTAGTATAAAGCAAAGGGATAGTGACAGGAATGAAGTCAGAGGGCTGGGCTGGGAATAAGTGCATTATAAACTAACGAAAGGAGCCAGGCACAGTGATGCTCACCTGTAATCCCAGCTACTCAAGAGACTGAGGCAGAAGGATCACAAGTCTGAGGCCAGCTCCAACTTAGCAAGGCCCCAAGCAACTTGGTGAGATCCTGTCTCAAAATGAAAAGGGCTGGGAAAGTAGCTCAGTGGTAAGGTAACACTGGGTTCAATCCCAGTACCCCAAAGTAAATAAACTAATGAAAGAACTTCAGGGCTGGGGCTGAGGCTAAGTGGTAGAGCAGTTGCCTCGCACATGAGGTACTGGATTTGATCCCCAGCATCACACTTAAAAAACAAAAAACAAACAAACAAAAAACCTTAAATAAACAAAAGTATTGTGTCCATCTACAACTAAAAATAACTTCAGTTTTACTTTTTCAGCCCTCAAGGTATCAGGAAGACACTGAAAGGCTTAGAGGAGTGACATGGTTTGGTTTATGTTTTCTTAGGTATAATATAAACTGGGCTCATATCCTAACTCCACGACCAACCTTAGACAACATACTACATGCTCCAAAATCCCAGTTTTTATTTCTGGAAAATGAAAATGAGAATGTTTACCTCAAAAAATAATTTTTAATAAAGCATTTAGCACAGTACCTGGCCACATAAAATACTTAATTCACAGTAGTTTCTTCACTTGTATTTCTTTTGCTTTCCATCCTTCACATACTGACACTGCACACAAGCACCTAATAGAGTATACTGCATTCTCCCAGTAAGTGTTTGAAATACACACCAAAATATTAACAGGTCTTTGAGTAGTGAGGATTCAGGACTCCTTCTCTCCTTGGTTTAACTGTATTTTATAATTTTTCTACTATAAGTGTATAATTGTAATGAAAACTGTTTTTCAATTTATATGTAACTCTTTCATCTACCTAAATATATTCATAAAAAGCAATGCAAGTAATACTAAAAAGCACAGATTTTAATAAATGTTGACCTAAAAAGTAGTATAGCCAGGCACAGTAGTGCACATCTGTAAACCCAAGCAGCTCTTGAAGTTGAGGCAGAAGGATCACAAGTTCAAAGCCAGCCTCAGCAACTTGGTGAGACCTTGTCTCAAAAAATAAAAAGGGCTGGGGATGTAGCTTGGTGGTTAAGCGCCCCTGCGTTCAATCCCCAGTACAAAAAAAGAAAAAAGTATTGTAATTGAAGATTTCAAGTAACCAAAAAGCAACCAAAGCTTTGCAATTAAAAATTTTTTTCACCAGAGTTACTATAACAGTTTGTTCAAATCAACTGTCAGGCCAGGCACACTGGCACATACCTATAATCCCAGCAGCTGGGGAGGCTGTGGCAGGAGGATCTTGTGAGTTCAAAGCCAGCCTCAGCAACTTAGCAAGACCCTGTCTCTATAAAATATAAAAAGGACTGGGGATGTGGCTTAGTGGTTAAGTACCACTGGGTTCAATTCCCTGTACCAAAAAAACAAAATAAAAAGAAAACTGTCAGAGAAAAAAAATTACTCAATAATATTCATTAAAGTCAGCATTCCCTTGTGTTCAAGGAAAAAAAGAGATGTCTTTCTTTCCTTTGAACAATATGGGTCATTTTTTTTCATTCTGTCACCTTCTGTTCACTAAGGACCAGCTGAATCATCTGCTGGGACCCAGGAGTAAAGAGTATTTGCTAGGTGGTATGAGCAGTCAGGCATTTAATGAGGGAGATTTCTATGAAATTGAAAAACAGAGGCTAATGGTTAAACTAGAAATTCAGTTTGTTTTTTTCTTTTTGCAGTATTGGGGATTAAACCCAGGGGTAATTTACCATCAAGCAACATAACCAGCTCTTTTTACTTTTTGAGACAGGGTCTCACTAAGTTGCTGAGGCTGGCTTCAAACTTGTAATCCTCCTCCCTCGACCTCCAAATCACTGGGATTGAAAGTGTGAACCAACACAACTAGCCATAAACTCATTTTTTTAGGTCCAGAGGAGAGTCAGTTGAAAAGACTTCTACTAGATAGTGGGTTCAAAGCACCTTCAGGTGAAGTTAGGACAAGCCAGACAATTTTACAGATTTTCCTGGTTTACAGATTGTCTCTGTTAATGTCACCAGCTATTAAAGTGAACTTTTTGAGTGATTCACAATAACAGGCATGAAGGTAGGCTATATACATGATCCATTTGCTGATTTCTCTGAAGTTTCTATTAAGTCATCCCGCTTCAATTTAGAAGGCTTTGCGGAAAAGGTCTGTTTTAGTTATGCCTACCCACTAGTCAGAAGGGTGGGAAAAACTGGAGCACCAACTTGGAGAGGTACAGCCAGATATTGGAGGAAATAAGAGGAACTGGGAATTTAGAAGAACTAGCAAAATGAACTGGTAGAATCCACAGGGTGTACCATACTTTTCCACTGAAACAAAGATTTCTCTCTATATAAATACTTCACTCTTATTTACAAAATAAAATAAGCTATAGTTACTTTTGAGATTTGGCCTGAATGTCTACATAGGTGCAGCAAGAACGGTAACTGACCACAAGGCTTTTTAAATTTGCTTTGCTGGAATTTTTCTAAGAATCTCAGATTAGACTTTATGTTTTTTGTCATGTTGGAGATCAATCAAACCCAGGGCCTCTTGCACACTAGGCAGGCACTCCCACTACACTCTCTCAGGCTCCAGATTAGCCTTTTAAAAGCCTCTCAAATCCACAGAGCCAAGTCAGAAACTCATCACCAGACTTTTCCTTCAGTCTTTAGATTTGAAGGAATTCTTTTCTTCTTGAGGGTGTCAAAATACTCTGAAATTTCCAGGACTGCCAAAAGGAACCTTGCTCAATTATGAGGCCCAAAGACAGGAACCCCATAAGCAAGGTACCACCAGGCCAGTATTTCCAACAGGCACTTTAAGTTCCAGAGCTTATAAAGTCAGCGTTGGTTCTTTTGTTAAAGCTGTCTGGTCAGATCTGATTTTATACATCATTGTCAAATGATATTCCAGTCAAATCGCTGGTAATATAATCAATGTTTTCAATTGCATCCTGTTACAAGAACATATTCCTATTGAATTTATACAAATAATAATATTACTAGGAAAATAAGAATACTCTCTAAGCTCCTGAATTCTGGAGAGATGAGGAAAGGAGAAAA